ATCTTTAACGTTCGCCATAGATCGCTCAAAGCGCTAGAGTCGACACGCAGCGCGTGTTCGAATTTCAAGTTCCATGTAAACAATGTATTTTACATGCGTTCTATACGTTGCTATTAGTCCCATGCCACACACGACGTGGAGGTAGAAGGTGGAACGCTTCACATAAGTAAACTTATTGTCCTTTACTCAATGTGTTCATATTTGATATATCATGTAACAGGAATGGAAAAATTGGATAAATAATATGGTGTCACCGTACTCAGTTCAGAGAAAATCGACCAATAAAATACAGTGAAAATAGCCTGTTTTGTTACATCAATTGTTTCTAATGGGAAGAATATTTTTTGACATCACAATTTTTTTTGGTGGCATATGGTGAAAAAAAGGATATATTGTACAAGGTACTTTTTGGTGTCTAGCAGTAAAAATCGACAATAATTTGACTGTTTTTGTTTTTAACGAGGAAGTATGATTTCAATATGGTCTATGGAAACCAATCCTTAAATTTTATGTACAATGTTTTAACGTTTTGCTCGAAAAGAGTTCATATTGACTAATGTAAATTAATTACAGACAGATTTTGACACGAAATACTGTCACTGCTATACGCTAAAATATGGACACATAAAAAGAAATCACGATTAGCATTCTACCTTAAAGGGCGACGGTCGTCACGGCGCGTCCTATTCGATATGGGACTCATAGCGACGTATACAACGCGTGTAAAATACATTGTTTATTCACATGAAATTCGAACAGACGCTGAGCGACGACCACCGCCCTTTAAAACCACTCTCTGTCGTCACTCAGCGTGCTGTCCAAATCCGTGTATCAAATTACATGCGTTGCAGTATACGCGTATACGGCACGGTACCTTTTTGAGACACGCAGCAGCGCCGCAACGACTGTGGCAATTTTAAAAGTGGTTGGCGACCATCAAAACACATGATCCGATTTCCCTGACGTTTATAGTATGGATTTATTTCATGTTGTTGTCTACAAAACCCAAATAAAAAGTATATGTTCACCAAACTACTCTTCACATACAACGATAATCTTAGGATCATTGTTCCGAAAACTCTTTTTGCAGTTTTTCAGGCAGTTTTTTTTTCTCCAAATATTTCAGACTAGTATAAACAACAAAAAGTTGATGATATGTGTAACAATCAATAATTATATGACAATATTTTTATATTTTTTGTGTCCTTGTTTGTCAGGTCGTATCTAATCATTTCATTGTTTTAATACACACACAAACAACACATGTGCAATTATTTTGGGTTGTGTGCATTGTTAACTTTGTGCAATATCAACTTTCAAAATTGAATTTAGAGAGTTACGGCAGCAACAAATGGTTTCCAACAGAAATATTTTCCAAGTTCATTTATTGGACTGGAAAGATTTTTTTAAACTATGTTAAATCTACACACAAAATAAATGCACAAAACGCAAAATTGAATTAAAAGTGTTACAAACTCTATTTAAACAAAATTAAAAAAAATATGCGTTCTAAAAGTATCCTCTAAAAAGTAGTACTATTTAATCCATGCATAGTTGTGCAGTGATAGCATGTTGGGTTGCAATGTGGCATCTAGTCTGTTAGAACTTGCCCGTGTACGGAAAAAATGCGTCATATGTACTGTATAGAGATCAACCGCTGTCAGAAAAGCACACGTAACGCAACAATTACATGAAGTTGATGAACATACCTTCAGCCTTCGTTCCTTAATTATTGCCAAATTGAAGCAAAATAGTACGTAGCGAAAATACAAAATTAAACTTGAGAGCCATAATAAAAATTAAAGATAAAGATTTCAGTTAAACATGACTTTATCGTTTAAAGTTCATCTGTTTAAAAAAGTCAAATAGAAGTTCTACTTCTGAAAATAGCACCGGTATCGGATTCACGGCTCAGTTTTTTGCAGTGTTGGGAAACAAAAGTTTGTGACCAGCGCCCTCAAAAGAGATTAAGCGCATTTATTTCGTTTCGTCGTATGTTTTTTTTTTCTTTAACTACTCACAGTAGTTTCTTCCGTATGTCTGTTGGGTTACTGAAGCCACGATGAACAATACGTACATCAGCAGGAAAACCACCCCAAGTACGCGATTAATTCGCCACTTAGCCGCTCCTATACAAGCCAGGACCAGAAATACGCATACCAAAAGCATGGCTAAGATAAACAGGTAACTGGAATCGTCTATCAACTGCATGTCGTTGCCGTCAACCATTCCGATAAATGCGACGATCAAACATGGCAGTCCCATACAGATCAGAATATCGAATACATTACTACCAATAGCGTTTGCAATAGACATGTCCAAGTGTCCTGAAATTTAAAACAGCGTAAACCGTTTAGTATTATTAATATTCTGCAACTTTTCAGTGAAGTGTTTTCGTTATGAATACGACAATGCGGAAATAATACAATACAGTCATTCATTTTAGGAACTTAATTACACGAAAGTTAATTTTCCTCAATTTTTTTAAACATGTAGATACATTTCGGAAAATAATTGCATACCTTCTCTAGCGACGAGTATACTAAGAACCAGGTCAGGCAAGCTGCTTCCAATACTGAGGAACACCAGACCCATAAGTACATCTGGGATTCCTGCTATAAAACCTGTTGGAAAACAAATACAAAATATTTTCAAGCATCGAAGGCCATCTTGGGTTGGCATAACTACATAGAGGGGGGGCAAGGGTTATTTTCGTTCAACGTAATTGCAATATTTTTTGTTCGTACAACTTAAATTGAAAAAATAAATTCCGTAATTCTGTAATCACAGGCTAGACGTACAACGTAATCAATCAAATATGTTTTTCGTACATTGTAAAAATGTGTCATTTTTCTCGGTACGTACAAGAATTTACATCCTAATAAAAAATCGTAAAGAATACCCCAGGGAAATTACATTTTAGAAACTGTAAAACGACTAGATGACACAATTCAATGCAAAATTGAATGTCAAGCCGTAAAAGGCCCTCTAACCGAATGAAGAGCATTACGAGGGTAATATGCGCATGCGTCTCTACACACGGCGCAGCAATGGCGGAGAATTTTAGTCGGAGAGCTCTTCCGACCATTCAATATTCCATTTTTTAACACTGTAAACTGTAAAAACGTCTTTTTTTCCTTGTAAATTGCAAATAGTCCTTTTTATTTCCTGTAAAACCGTACCAGCTACCCCCTCCCCTTGCCTCCCCTCTACATAGCTACATAACTGTGACATACTTTGTAAACCGATATTGTAAATCAGACATTGCACTTTGGCTCAAGACAGTGTAGTCAATATGCAAGGTCTAGGAGGAGACATTGTTTTTCCTTGACTGTTGAACGAGTTTGCAAAGAAAGCGGTTGGAACCAACAGTATCAACCACAACAGCTCGAGCTTCAAACAACTGAGCTATTGCAATTTCCGGCGAAGGTTGTAGGAATAAACAAGAATTGGAAGGTTCATTTCAATGTCATGTGGTATGCATTGAATCATTCATGCAATACAGTATTCATGTAAATTAACAGTATACACTGCCAATGAAACCGATTGCTAAATCATCCAATTTCATCGTTTTCTTTAGTGGTGTACATTACGAGACAATTACTATAAAGTGCGGGTTATCGGATAAAACGCCACACGCACTCGCAATATATAGATTTTGACCAAAAGTGTGTCGTTATATCTGATAACCCACAGGTTCTAGTGGTGTTTCCATAAATAGACGTTAGAACCAGTGTTCACATGACCAAGAGTGGTATAAATATTTTTTACATACCATTATTGGTCATGTGACCCATTATCTCGGCCATGTAACTCCACAGTTAGTTTCATATGTGTATTAGTAATAACCGCAGTTGTTTTCACATGCAGATTAGTAATTATCACGGTTTGTCTGAATATGCATATTAGTACGTATTAGTTTTGGTTCTTGCACGTGTAGATTAGCAATTCACACATTTGTCAGTTATTATTATTTATCGTGAATTATAAAACAAATATACCCTCACATGTAGTAATCATATTCGTTTCCAGTTGTTCTAATTACTAATACGTGTAATTAAGCAAACCATGATGTGCCTCGTATAATATCACACATATTACACTCTTTCAAACGTATTTTGACCTCAACAGTGTTTAATTAATTTTCAGCCATCTTACCTATAACTTCTACCATCCATACCGCTATATAACAAAATCCTCCCATCCATAACGACGACATAACAAATGTCACTATGTACCAGGACTTGTTTTTCTCCTTGCGGCAATCCGGGGTAACCAGATACATAGCTAAGTGAATGGGGAACCCGCAACAGCAGAAACACTTTCCAAGTAGACCGTCTTCCGGCATTCTAAATGGAGTATACACTTCGTATTCCCCACTGGTCGTTATAACTCCGTCTGTCGCCTTTTCCATACTAGACTGGTCTGATAAAATAAGAATTTTAAAATCAGTGTTTTTAAAGTGTCACCTCCATTACGCAAAACGTGTTCTAATTTGACGTAATTTACACGCGTTGAATGCGTCCCATGATGCCCCTAATGGACAGGACGCAGTGAACTGTGTACTTGTAAATTAGTTTGGGCAACAACAAACGCGTGCTTCAGGCCAGGTATGGCTGAAAAATGTTTATTTGTTTCTTTTTACTTTATGGTTACAGTCTTCGAATATTATGTAAACAAAAACTGTATTTAACATGCGTTGGCACTTGCGTATGTCGTGTTTTTCTTTCATATTTCAAAATTTGTTCAAGACCCACTAGCAACTGATAAGTTGTGACGCGTACTTTTGAAACTGGACATGGGTACCGGTATTACAAAAAAAAACACATAATGGCTAACATGCAGACATTCGATGTTTTTTTTTCAAAACGCTTGAATAAACGCATAACAACCTACCGACTGCATGATGACTTTCGCCGTTGGGTACGCTTTTATTATTTTCGCCGTCGATGGCGTTGTATGTACCATTCCTCGCAATCAAGGGCGCCTTCTCGCCATCTTTCTCCTTCTTGCGACCCCGATTGCTGCAGCATTTCTTAGCAGCAGTTTCCGCTCGTTCCCCCAACCAACGATTGAACACCATGATGAGTATGTAGAACCCGTATGCGCAAATCAGAATGATTGCTTCCCACCTGTGAAAAGAAACACTTAGCTTTAAATCAGGAGTGTAATTTTTGTGGACTTTTGAGCTCAGAGATTGCTAAACTATGTCGAAATCGGAATACGTATTTATTTAACATGATATGGTTTGTCAACCAATTACATTCCCTCATTGGAAACAAACAAAGTGCAACTTTTAACACGAATTATGATTGGTTGTTCATTAAATGCATTCGAACGTGCAAATAAATATTTCTTACCACGTGACGTAAAAGTCATAGACGACGATAATCAACAATGCAATAGACATTATATAACAAGTGGAATCCCGTACAATACTCCACCAAGACAGCGTTCCCGCCTAAAAATACACAAATTAAAATAATTAATCACACGCTATCAATTTTGTCATCCGTTCGGTTCACTGAACTCGAAATATGTGGACATTGTCTGTGAATGAATGCTTCGTTGGTGGCGCACGTTTCATTGTGCCGAGATTACTTAACAATAACTCATACGAATAAACAGAATACTTCACAATCCGTTTAAGGTAGCGGGACTATTATTTGCATACTTTTTTTCATCTTCTAATTGGGACCAAACGACTACAAATAGACCCAGGAAAGTATATATTTTTGGAATCGCCAGACTTCAAGCTTTTCAAAGGTGTGTTTGTCATGTCCGTATCTGCATTCTACGGTGCGTTACTTAATCAAAAGTGAAAAATAACTTTTTTTGTAAAAAAAAAACAATTACGCATTTATGCTGGTGATAATAAGTTTTGTTTTCACTTTTCCTAGTTGTTCAATAGTCTGGTAAATTGAATGTGTCTGATCAGTTTTATTCAAGCAAAGCGTTTTGAAAAATAGTGTCCTGAATTTTAATTTCTGTTTTAGTCGCATTGACCCCAACTCAAACCACAACACATTGGTAAATAATCCATGAAATAGTTTGTCTGGACACATTCAAGTTCCTCTCATTGTCACCTTAAAGCTGTGAAAATTTGGTGTTAATTCAACGACAATAAGTATACGTTATCAATGATTTTTTTTCAGTGGCTGTGTGACCTTGTGTCTGACCCATTCATATGCAAATGACTAATCTGTGAAATAAACAGGGGCGGAGACAAACCACTCAAATGTTTGGAAACACTCATTGTGTGTCAGATAGCTACTGATAACACATCCTAACATTGCTTTGTCTTGAGTTAATCTTTGAAACTTATAGGCACACAAATTAAACCTGTGTGGTTGATTTTAGAAAACACTACTGAAGCTGCTTTGCTTCCCTTCAGAAAATCTACATTTTAACCAACTTACATGACATTCTAGGTTACGTTGACTTTGTCAGATGAAAGTTTATAGTGCATTTCATCAATTAATAAATAAATGTGAAAATCGGAATTTTCAACACAAATAATATACTTGCTACCTTAATAATTACATAAGGCGTAACTACACGAAGGGGGTAACCTGACTGAATAATGGCATACTCTAGTTTAGTCTCAGGTCATTTCACATCAGATAAAAGCCAAACATGCCGACACTCGCATTCAGCCTTATTTCAATTAACTTACAATACACTCAAATGACTTTAACTCTGACTACCCAATAGTAATTACCGCATGCCTGAAATTTAGACAGGTCTTCATAGAGGATTAATCTCAGACTAGTAGAATTAAACCAGGTCTTGGCAACTCTCGAATCGTGATTTATTTTGGCCTGCCTGAATATTTAGGCCCGTGTTCATACACAAAATCGGACCAAGCCTGAAATTTGACTTAAACCTGCTTTATTTCCCAGTGTTGAATTCCCTGGTACATGGAGGTAAAAAGAGACCTCCATGCCCGGTACGACAAACCGCGGACAAACACAAACAGTATCATGTTTTGACAACACATTAGTAGCTACTTTCATTACAATTGAAATCACACTGGATTAATAGCACGCACGCCCATACAGGGTCATTGACCGGTTAGTCGGGATGCGAACAGCACGAGTATTACTAATTCAGTATCATCTTACGTAAACTGCGATAACTTCCAAGAAAATATCATGGAACTATAAATATGATGAACCCAAGTTACATTTCGACCTAATTATCTAATTTTACTGTAAATTTACAGCCTTGTAAGTTACAGTAAATTTAAAACCTAGTCAGGTGTTGCACGAATCTGTGTAGAGATCTTTCAAATTGAACAATGATAACACGTCAATGTATCATCCCACAGATTTGAATGTAATTTGTTAGAGTGAATGTTGTAACGGATTTCCCCGACTGTTATACAGGGCGATAAGGTTAATGCCTCGTGATGAACCCATGTCATTCCTCTGTTCTATTTAGAGACTCAGACCTCTATAAACCACTGAGGGCAACAACCATTGACCGTCGGGATACTGGTATTCAACATGGATAGAAGCCTCGTAGTAAATTAATACGATAAATCTGTCCAAATTTAATGCTTTAATTTTAATGTGGCAAATATATCGGTAAAAGTAATTAGTGTTCATTCTACATTTTTTTTTACATTCATGAGAGTCAGAGGCAACATATATCGACAATAAATATCAATTTGAAGAGTAATGATCTTGTCCGTTTAGAAATCCCTCTCCGCGAACTATTTGAACTACTTGTAAACGCATCAATTTTTCACCGGGTTTTGATTTAGCTACTTTCGCTGATAAGACTAATCTGCTAAAAATTTGATCCACACGTGGTTTAACGGTACTAATACGGGAAAGCAATTTGATTCGTCCTTGAAAATTTAAAGGTGAATCACATGGGGTTATCCCACTGCGTATATACTATGGACAGATGACCTTTGCCTTCGTGTCCCTTGATGTTGGATGACATAGTGTACATAAATCATATGTTCACGCCATAAAGGGGTCATTCTTTACACTGTACACGTGGGATAACGATTACTGTTTTATTGTCGTAACCATGGTAACGATAGCTAGTAAAAAAAAAAACATTGACGTTTACCGAACTCAATTTACTACTCAAATGACATTCGGTAAATTATAAAGGAAACTTCCGACACAGACATCTGTTTTACTTGTCTGGAGAATGTGGGCACATCAAACACTGAGACACCATGTGATGTGCATTTCGCATCTCTGCTGAAAGAGAGCCAAGCACATGTATA